AAATACAGTATCCGAATTATCTCAAGAACAATTTTCACAGTTACGCAGAGAAACTGGGGATTAGAAATTGTTTCCAATTTTTTAAGGCAAAGACCCTAAATATAGGGCCTACGTTGTGATGTCTTCTCTAACACAATTGTCTTAAGATACTCGATTCTCCACCCTGTTGAGAACCTTTGGCCTGAATCAGAAACTAGGATTCCCGAACATAACATTAGAGGGGAAAAAAAAAAAGGAATTAGATGAAAAGCTAACGAGAAGAATGGTGGGAAATTAAACCCCAAAATTAGTAACGCCAATCACAAGAATACAGAGAGAAGTGTTAAAAGAAAAGATCCTAAATGAAAAATAGTAAGTCACAGTTTGTTCATTTTCACCTTTTCCTATGATGCCCGAATATTAAAGTGGCGGTAAAATTACGCCACGCAAGATCACGCAAGATTTGTACAAATTTGTGTACATTATTTTGATTAGTATTGTAAAAATATAGTTTCACTTTGTTTAGTAATATTTATTGCACTGATGTATTTCCTTCAAATAATCATAAATATATCATAAAGCGTGATAATTTCACATTTTTCCGAATCTTAATGTAACTTGTGGGTAGGTGGCGCATTGTGAATTATGTATTCGTCGATTGGAAATGCTCCAGTTCCCTAAAAAGTACTCCAGTGCACATATGCGAAGACCTCCGAAGTAATCGCACCGTCTACTGAAGCGAATGATTGCCATCCTAGAGAAACTGAAGAAAACCAGTCGAATTCGGAACCTACAAGTACATGTAAGCTAATCTACTGTTGTAAACAAAAGACTGGGAAGTATAAAACAGCCAAGGAATTCGACAATGACCAAAAATTTAAGATCTAGATAGAAAAAAAAACAACAGAAATAATGCAACAAACAAAGAATTTTATTTTAAACTCCAGAGAAACGAAATCTTAGAAAATCTTGCTTATCGTTAAAAAAAATTAAACTAATCGGGTAGCAATAGTGTATTTAGTCCAGAAATAGCATTCATAATTCCGACAGATTTTAATGAGCTCGAAATGACAAGACCTAATTATGTAAGAATAAAAATGACTCAAAACTGAAACATAAACCAAAAACTGCGACGATAATTCATTAACAATCTTAACGATGCTTATTTCACATATGCAGTTTTCCAAATAAAGTGCTCAGAGAAAAACGAACTTACATGTGAACGCTCTATGCCTTGATCTATTCCTATACTTTCTTCTTATGATTGGTAAATGGTTCGAACACATCTCGAGTCGGTTCCAGGTCTGCATCCTCAAGTTTGTGTTGACCAATCTGACACTGTACAGACTGCGAAGCGGACAAGAAGCAGACGGCAGCACTATCGCCCTACACCCCGTCGCGCCAAATCACGTTTTTCGAAATTGTGACCGAGAACACGCTCCTTCCTCATTTCATCTAAAGTCATGCCAAGACAATTCCTGTCACGTCACTTGGAAGTTTTTTGTCCGTTCCTACTTTTCACAGTTTCTGTGGTAATAATGACTAGAAACACTAAAGAGGGAAGACATTCAACGAAAATCATGTTTGATGTACACCGGACAGATTATTCTCAAGTATCCCAACAACCATCTTTCATCCATCGCATTAAAAGGCAAAATAATTATTTTGACATACAAATTATACTTGTTCTAGTATGCACACTTTATAAAGGTACACGAAATGTTAAATCGTTTTGACCCTACGGTTTCGTAAGTAACAACTTAGTTTAGTTTACCTTCGCTTATTGAATTGAATTATTGCCTTACTTTACGTGGCGAGACTCTTGCCATCAGGCCCGCTCTTCCGTCTGACCACGCAAATTTCGCTACGCTCCTTTCACCAACTAGCGTAGAAAGGAGTTGTTTATTCATGCAGTAATTTTGCGCTCAACTATCAGAGAACGGTTGCTGAAGCTTCAAATAGTAACTACAGAATCTGCGGGGTATGTGACGTGAAACTAGACAGGACAGGTTCAAAACACTTGACCTCGAAAACATTTAGTTGTCATCGTGCTTGACCACACGTTTTCGAGTCCAATGATAACGTTCCGGTTCAGGGTTATCTCAACAGTCCATTCTCACTGCAAGTGTAATAACTTGATCGATTGTACTAGTCGTTCGGATAACCAACATTTATAATTTGTTAATTAAAAACCTCAGTTGTCGGTTAGAAGATAGATTTTTTCTTAGTTAGCGATGTTTATGGATTGTAACGAGAACAAACATCGATAAAATCGCAATTCGGCGGCCCCGCACGACGCGACGTCGAAATGCCGAACACCTGTTGCACGTGCCATTACAAAGCTGCCTGCAAATCCTACGGACCGCAGCAGCGAATTCGATTCGCCAAGTTACTCCCTTAGAAGACTCGAGAAAACGTATACAAAGCACCGTTTCCAAGACGAAATCTGAAATCGCAGCCCCAAGACACGATCACTTTGGGCAAAACAATAATTGGCTGGGCGCTCCAAGACGCGCAAAGATCAAGAATAACGCATGCGACTTACTTGAGGTAGTACACTTGACCCTCGGGCGTCCGAGCTTGCTCCCAACCAGGCGGCAATGGCCCCAACTCGTCCACCGGTGTGATGTCATAACTTCTCTGCCTCAGGTGTTGGTGTTGCTGTTGATGTTGCTGTGCCGATGCGTACGTCTGCTGAAGGGAAGCAGGGGAACTGTGCGCTCGAGGGTGGTTCACCTGCAAACCGCTAGCTGACGTAGTTGTAGTGGCCGCAGCAGAGGCTGTTCCGAATGCCGAATCCGCGGAATTTTCCCGACTATGCGATATGGAAGAGACGGACGGAGATTTTGAACCCGTGGACGGAGGATTAAAGAAAGAATCTGGCAATTTACGCATACGTAATGGCACCTGTAATGGTCTGCTTGAATCTGGCTTCAGAACGCTGTCGAAAAGAGCTTGAAAATCAGAATCAGAGTCTTGATCTATTCTCACTACCAAGCTCCCTTTATGCTGTTCCCCTTCTGGATTCAATGCCATTTTGGATGTTTTTTGTATCACAACTTGCAATCACTTACTAAACAAAAATAAAAATCACAACAAACAAAACCCCCGAGTCCCCTGCACCCGGACACATTCACCCCCCTTCACTGCTTCACTTCGCTCTACCGCGCTCTGCCGACTGTCGGACTCCAAGGCTTAGGAATGCCAAGCCGCCGCGCGCACGTCTCCTTCCACCTTGTGCGCAATGTAGTCCCCGCGAGAGCCGCAGTTCACCACCGCCAGCAGCACTTGCGCCTCTCTTGAAATCGCTCCGCCAGCGCGGGACTATTCGTAGCTCCAATGGAGAAAAATTGAAGGAGCTCTGAATACCGGGTTAAGGAATAGGATGGGAGACATGAAAAAATACCTATCCAAGTAACTGACTGCGGGGTGAAGTAATTCGGACACGTTTTTAACACTCTTAGCCATTCCTGGGCATTGAGCGTATCTGGAGTAATCTTATTTTTAATTATTATAATTATTATTATTATTATTATTATTATTATTATTATCATCATCATCATCATCATCATCATCATCATCTTTCTGTCTTATCACGTCGTGGGCAGTCAATGCCTTTAATCCCTTCGACCAGGGGCTGGGATTGGCTTGGATACACTGAAACTGACTTTTTATTTAAACATTACAATATTTAATTCTTATAAATGTGTCTTTGTTATTATTTCAGAAAACTACACCATTTAAGTGAATAGACTTGTTAAACATCCTCACTTATCCATACACAGTTATGTATTCTAATATTACGGGATATGAGTATTACTAGCAGGGGCACCCAGAGAAAACCATGGGCCTGGTGTGTTGATCCCTGGGGGTCCCTCATTTCAAACAAAAAAATAATCCCTTCTTCCCAAATTCATAATCTGAATTCATTTCTACATTTATCAGAACTAACTTACAGCATTAAATTTGGACTAGAGATGAATACATTTTTTAAAATTTCTTTTGAATGGACAAACATTCTGGGCCCCAATTAAGTCAGGAGTTGCCTCACCTGCCCCGTTCTGGCTGCCCTGCATTACAAACAATATAAACATTGAAAGAAAGAAGCAAACACTGAAATTCACATTGTTTATTACTTCACCTAACAATACAGAATTATTCATTGCAACACACCTGTAAACAAAGCTGACTAGAAAATTAATATTCAATGATTCATGTTACTAAATTATTTTAATAAACATAGCAGTAATGCAACAAATTTTCAGTATTCTTTAGTTTTTACCAACTCTTATAAAACAAACTGACAATATAATATCAAATACAGGAATTTTAATATTAACAGCTTCTGAAAACAAACTACATAAAGGCATGCATAATAATGGTTATTACTAAAGTCTAAATATTAAACTTCATGTAACAATTAAAATGCACCAATTCTAAACTGTTTGACAATGTGCTGCAATGGGCAATATAATTAGCATTGTGACCTGACCACAAAAATCTGAACCTTTCTTTGAAAAATCACATCAATTTCAATGCAATGTTATTGTAAGTTGATGAATTTCCTGAATTAAATTAATCTTTATCCACAAAATTAGTCTGTTCAATAATGGAAGAACACTGTACATATAAATCAGAGTCAAATCAGGAAGCAAATTTTTATATGAAAATTAAAAAGATGAATGAAACATTCATTCATCTTGACAAACTGATAATACATAATTTGCATTGCAGATTATTTATCAATTTTACAGAATCCACGGACTAAAAGAAGATCACTTCATGATTTAGAGTAAAGCAACTCGATGGTAATTAATTTATATTTTTTTCCATTTATCAAATTCTGCCCATTTTGTATGGAAAAAAATTAGTTTATTTAGATTTTAATAGCTAGCTAGCACAATTCACTATTCTCACTGAAAATTTGCAGTAAATGATATTTCTTCTAGAAGAGAAACCTTTTATTTAGCATACAAACTTTTCAGCACGTTTTAAAGTACACATGTTATATAGAAGATATGATTGAAGAAATGAAATCCTGAGAGAATTAAAGAAAGAAAGATTTAGCATTGAGGCAGAGCAATTGTGCCAACCTGTTGAATTGCAAAATATACAATATGATACTCTTTTGCAATGACAACATAGGTTCAACTGGAGTCTGAGGCCAGTGAATACAAATGAGGCTTACACCATTTAGAAGGTGGGACCAACTCAGAAGTTCAGGATGGGGGCTCCAAGGCAAGCAACCCATAAGCCCCTCATTTTTGTGAAACTGTTCTCATTTTCTAATGTATCCACAAAACTGGAGGCTGCAAGTAACTGGGCAAAATAGGGTTACTTTACTGGAATACTCTGATACATGATAAGATCGTATTTATGAAAGAAAAAAAAACAAAAAAAAGAGCTACTTCAGTGAGAAAGATCATCTACAATTCATTAAAACTGGAAAAAACCTTGCATTTAAAAACAATAGTTAACATGAATCATACCTACATTTGCTAATACTCAAGACTTTTCCCCTTTTACAATGTATATGACATTACAGAATAATATTCATATAGCATTCAACTGTTTCACAACTGGAATTTAAAGTAAATATAAGAAAATAATTTTTTATTCATAATATAGGAAATCAGATACAAAAGGTGTAACAATAAATGTTTGTCATGGTGTATTAAGAATTCTTTAAGATGGTTCATAAATAACAAAAATAAAATATAATTTACAATCGTACAATATAAAAAATATATTTTTATACTGTAAATTAATTGCATAAACTGTGGAAATACATGCAGTCAAAACAATTTATTTTGTATGCCCAATGCCATAATTACCATTCTCTTTAACAACACACAACAATGAATACTTAAAACAACCTCATCATTGCCTTTCTAAACATGAACAATATTACAAGTAACTTAATCTGGACAGAATATTTGGCACAGAATTGAAGTTTCTTTATTATCAATGGTCATTTAATACAGTTATGCACATTAGTATTATGTATTAAATCTGTTTGGGATATGAACTTTTTTTTTTATTGTGTAGAATCATTTTTTAATGGACGGTTGCTTCTGACTGATAAAACTTCTGCTAATAAGGAACATTAACACATGAAGGAACACTTCACACTTTGAATCACAAATGTTTTATACATATAACACTGTGCACACAATTCATTGGTCTTTACAATGAATTCATCAAATTCAGGCATGAAAAGTAGGAAGACATTAGTACAGAATTATCAATCCTTTCATCACACAGTTACAAACACAATATGTAAGTAAAAAATTTCTTGAAAATGTAATGTACCACTCTTGCAATAGTTATGAATGTACTTGCATGTAATGGATAATGACTCATAAAAGCATTGATTTCACTTATTTTTTTCCTTTGGGGGATTTAGTTGGAGTTTTTCCAGATTTACTGCCAGATTGGTCAGGATTTTGGGATGGCTTGTGCCTTCGTTTTGGAGGAATTGGTGCTTTGGTTTCAACTGCCTGGGAAGTGTTCTCTGATGTATCATGACTTTCTGAAGGAGAAGATGAAGATGGAGGATCACTAGAAATGGGTTGAGGGCACTGAGCCACGGATAAACTAGGAGTGCCTGAAGCATCAGGAAATGCGCAAATGGGATCAGCGCTTTGAGATGCTGCTGCACTAGGAGAGGTTGAACGATCAGCTGAAGCAAGAATGAGATCAGGGCTCTGATCTGCTTTTGTGCAAGGAGATTCGGAACCAACAGTTGTTGCAGGCACCGGATCTGACATTGGCACTACTCCTCCAGGTTCTGAGCGAACTGGAGGAGTGGGGAGTATACTAGGTTCCACAGACAAAGTATCTGTAGCAAGAGGGGCCGGTGGTACTAGAGTGGAATTATCTGTTGGAGATGTAGGTGGAGTGGGGGCTGTAACGGATACTTTACTTGTGTCTACTAAAGGTTCTGAAGAAGGTGATGTGCTACTAGGGCAACTTTCAGGTTGATTAGCTGAATCAATATTTGATTTTAAATCAACTGCTGAATCAGTCTTTTCAGAAAAGTCTGTGTGGAGTTCACCAGCATTTCCAAGAACCTCTGCAGAGTACGCTTGAGGTTCAGATTGAGTCTGAACGACATTAGAAGGTAACTGACAATCAACTGTGGTCTCTTCAGTTGTGTGTGGAATAGATACTTCTGGTTCTTTTGAACCTCCACTAACAACACTCGCTTGTTTGTGTGGAATATCAGGAATACTTTTAGCAGTAGTATCTGAATCTAATGCATCTACAGTTCCTGATGATTTTGAAAAATCCTGAGAAGGTTGGGATACTGTCTGTTCCGTTTTGATTTCATCTTTTTCTTCGATTTGAGTAGCCTGATTCGATTCCTGATGTGTTGCAAGTAATTGTAATTTAGGGTCCTGAAGACTTGCTATTTGAACTACTTCAGGAGAAGATTCAGTGCAAATATCAATTGCACTTGAAGGTATGGTATCTCCCTGCTGTAATACTAGTTTTTGATTAAAAGAACTGTCCTGACACTCTGGTGTACTTAAATCAGATGTAGTCACTGGGACTGAGACATCATTAGCATGAGTGAAAAGAGAACTTTGGTCAGCTTGCACACCAGAACTGGTTTCCAAATATGGAAGTGATCTTACACCAGTGGCGTCATCTGATTGAGATTCAGATTTTGGGCTTGACGCTGCTGTATATTGAAGATGTGGAGATGAGACAGAGATAGTATTAGACTCTGATAAAGATATGTCATCACCAGGATTAACTTCTTTTGAAATATTTTCTACTACTACATTGGAGACTTGTGAAGTTGACTCTCTTTGTTCTGGGAGAGGATCTGCTGTAAGAAAATGTAATATGGAACTTACAGCATACATCACAAAAAAATAATCATTAATGCAAACATTAAATTAACTGCAGTCAAATTTTCAAATAAATCATTATTTCCCATAAAAAATATTAACATCAAAATCTCCTAATTGCGAAATGTTTTAATTAAATAAAATAATGAAGTTTTAAAATATCTGAAGAAATAACCTCTATTAAGAGGATTCTAAAATTCATGTCCCAATTAAAGTGCTAATGAAAAATATTAAACCTAAAAGCTCAATTTATTTAAATTTAAAAATGACAGAATATGAATTTTAATTTTATGAATACTTTGTATTATTGAACAATTTCATATATTTTTACAGGATTTACAGAAGTAAAAAGTAAGGTGTTCATGATATACCTTTACTCTTCCATGATTGGGAATTATGGCGACAAAAAGAAGAGCATATTAAAAAAAGAATTTAAAAAAATTAAAACAAGAGGGCCAAAGTGTATAAGGAAATCAAATTTTTATGCATTTTGGCCATACTTATGTGGTACACTACCTTGTTAACTTCGTGATTTTTAACTTAACAAAATTCTCATTTTGCAGAGGCAACAGCAAAGAGTTCGTACTCTTCTTCTCAATAAAGATTTCCAATGTCGATCAAAGAGCACATAAGCATAAAGTTACATAAACCCCAAAGAACTATCTTGAAACAACCTCCATTTACAATGTAACTGTATTTAAATAACTTAGTATATTATTTGGTCCCGTTTGTTCAATAATACTTATTCAGGGCATAACAATAATACAATTCACATATTAGAAGCAACTACAATACCACAATTTATTGATCAGTCGTGCAGCATGCAGTTTCTTTGAGCAATATTCTCCTGGCTTCTGAAAAAAGGCTATAAAATATTTGACTCTTAATGGTCGCAGAACAAACAATTTTTCCTCACACATGTTCTTCAAATGTCCCTTGTATGACAATGCTTTGAAATTAAACAAAAATGTTCCATACCATACTGGTAGATTCAAAACTTAATACACAAGAGACAATTAAAAATGAATAAAATCTTAACAAATTGAATGCTCCGAAAAAAATCTCCCAATTGATTACTAATAATTGGCCGATTCAGAAGATTTCTAGATTGTTAATTCCTTATATTAATGCCTCTTTTCATAATCCAGGAGTATGCTGAAATCTATAAAAAAAGTGTATTATAGGAAATGGTATATTCCTTGCCTGATGTAAAACTCTTGAGCAAAGTCCTGTGCAGCAATAATATTAATAATAAAAATAAAAAATATACAATATTTAGTTAGTGAAATGAGGCACATACATAACAGAAATTATGCTCCAATAAAAGCCAAATTTTTTAATTAAAAATTTGGTTGACAGAAGCCATCAAATAAACATAATTCACACAAAATAGTGGAAACAGCTACTGCAGCAAGAAAGAATTGGAAAATATCATCTACTGTTACACTATTTGCTACACAACGCACAATCTACTTTGAACACAATAGAGCAATAATATTCAACATCACTATTACAATGGTGTTATTAATATTATAGTAAAATCTGTATGCTCTGAACATTTTTTATCTTCCAAAAATGTACATGTACAACTTTAAAGTATTGAATGGTAGGTAAAATGAAACAAATAAAATTTTAAATGAACTGATTGTCTCCTTTTCAAAAACTTACAAAATTATATAAGGATTAATTAGAATTAATTTATTTGAATAACAAAATATTTTGAATTTGTTCAAGAGAAGCATGGATACTTTAGATTCAAAAATAAGAATTTTCAGGTTTAATGAAATTGGCAAATAGCAATAAATTTGTCTTCAATTGCTGTAACCCATCCAAAGTGAGTTTACATGAAAGATATTAGTTTGCAATAAATGTATTGGTCTTCATGTTCGAAACTTCAACAAGAACCCATCTTTAAAATTACCATTTCTCTTCTTAGGAAGGAGTATTCATTTTTCAGGTTTGCAATTGAAATTAAAACAAAATCATGGTTCTAAAAGTAATAGTCTAAGTGAAATGTTAGGGGAGAGAAATGACAATTTATAATTTCAGTGTAACAAAGAATACACATTTTATATATTGAAATGAATACCAACATCATTTTAATCTGTTCAAGTCTCTTAAACATTTCCCACCATTGCTTCTGGGCCCTTTTATTGATTGATTTAATTTTTGATGTTCTACCTTCATACACTCATTGAAAAGAAGACAATGACAAATACTAAAAGAAGTTAAAATGTAATTATAATATTAATCTTATAATGAAAAGCAGAATGTTCTTAATGGAGGTAAGAGGTGGTTTGTGTCAATGTTTTGAGTTGTTTTAAAGCAGATTTTCATTACTACAGATTTTAATATAATATTAGATTGTCCTTTTTCTGAGTACCATCTCTGTATTACAATTCCATAAATTTCCAAAAATTATTTTTTAAGATGAAATAAGAGAAAGTTCCTTAAAACTAAGTTGATCCCTACTTACAAGTAGAGTTAATTACTTAATCACAGAAGAATTAAATTTTAACAGTCTCGTCAATGATCATTACTTCTCCCATCTTTAAAAATAATCAAAATTATTTAAGGCATTGAAAAGCATTTTACATAAACAATTGAACACAAAAAAACAGATCATTACTCTGAAGAAACTGCAAGTTTATCTGTACCTGAAGGAGCTTCAGCCAGTGTTTCACAAATCTTGCGCCATATATTTTCAAAAGAATCACGATTCATATAATCAATGTTGCCGTGTTCCCAAGCCTGCTTTCGTAGGTGTTCCTCCAAAGCGATTTGTTCTGGTGAACGTGCTACACCTAACGTCAACTGAGACAGTGCACCGGCCAGTCCTGCCTGAAAATTGTACATGTATAATATAGACAACCTTTCACTATAAAATAAAAATTGGAAAAAAAAATTTTTCTTTTTTTTATTTAGTTAATAAATCTCAAATTTCTACACATGCATACAATTTTAGAATAGAACTCTTGATCCACAAAACAATTTTTTCTAAAAATAAAAATGTACTGACATATTCTCTGTTGATATATACAAGGAAATTGCTTATTTCATTCACACATATTAATGTGCATCATGAAAGGTTAATAGATCTACATGAACTGCTACTTACATCCTCATTTTCAAGTTCAGTAGTGGCTGGTGAAGATAAACACTCAGTGTCATAGGAAGTACTAATATTGCTGTTATCAGGTAAGGTTTTATTGTCAGGGAGTAATGCAGGATAAGAAGTAACAGTACTAACATGCTCAAAAGAAGCACTTTCTATTGGTTTACTTTGAAAATCTGCTTTTGGCTTTTCATCCAATGATAAGAATTTATTGTAGGAATGAACCTCTGTAGATGGACTTGAATTGTGCTCTTGTATTACATCTGACTTGTGCCCTTCAACAGCTTTGTTTCCCTCGAAACTGCACATGTGACCAGATTCATTGTCTTTAAATGTATGTGTATAATTTGAAACTCTGTCATTAATCAAGTGTTCCTGTCTGTGATCATTACCAATAAACTTCACACAGTAATTAGAACGACTATGTTCTTGCTGATTCTCAGAAGGATGATACACGTGTTCTTCACTCTGTTTAGAGTTATGATGAGGAGTTGGAGAAGAGTATACTTTCATACTTAGAGGGGGCAAATCGCTTTGCTGTTTCTCATGACTGTATTGATAGCTATGACCTACAAGAACATTTTGTTCAGAAGCAACTACACTCTGAGAAAGAGTATCACACCTTGGAATATCTTGGTGATGGCTATGTGAAACACCACTTGTGTGGTAAGGTTGATCTGAAATGAACTGTATTCCTGTATTAACTGTCTGTATTGTGTCTTGGGGTTCCTGGTACATTTCCCAAGGGTCCCAGTATCCATCACTTGGATCATGCGCATATGTTGGGGTAGGAATCTTAGACTGATTAAGGGAAATTTTAGGTTCAAGGTTTAAACATATTTCCCTGACGAAATGTGACATTGGAGAAGATTCTAGCTGTGACACTCGAGAACTGCGGTGTACCTAATAGCACAAATCATGCAAAAACAGAAGAAAAAAATAATGGTTAATAAAATAGAGCAGACTTTTAATTTAAATCAAGGAAAACACAAGACAAGATCTAAACTCTCAGTGACCAGTATAATGAATGATTTAATATTATTTACGTAATTTTAACCAATAGTCAGTTTGAAAAAAGAGCTTTGAAAACATTATAAAAATAAATTTAAGAAACATATAGAAATATTGTTTGAATCAATTCATTTCCACTGGTTTTGGAGAGCTATGTCAGGCATGCAGTTCTATGCCTATTCTATTGTACTATGAGTGCACACACATGTATTCACATGCAAAATTATATTTCACTTGCAAAATTATTATTACTAGTATTATCATTATTGTCATTATTATTATTGTCATTATTATTATTATTATTATTATTATTATTGTCATTATTATTATTGTCATTATTATTATTGTCATTATTATTATTGTCATTATTATTATTGTCACTATTATTATTGTCACTATTATTATTATTATTATTATTATTATTATTATTATTACTATTATTATTATTATTACTATTATTATTATTATTATTACTATTATTATTATTATTATTATAGTTGTCATTGGCATTATCATTATTGTTATCATTATTATATTGATATTATTATCCAGCTGAATCCATGTATTTCTAAATTCTCAAATGATACAGTATCACTTGCATCTTTGCTACTTTGAATATATGTGCATCTCTTGAAAACAATTTCTAGAGGCAAATCAAATGTGCACAATAACATAAAATAAATAAAAATTTCAGCAAGTAGCAGTTCAATGTAGGTGAAAGTTTTCAGAGGCAAAAATATGTCAATGCAGGAAAGCAACTTGTAAGGTGTGCGTGTTATTCATATTGTAGGAACACTACTAAGAAGATAGTTAGAATATTAGAATGCTGAAACAAATAAAATAGGCATAGAATGATTCAAGAATGCACTTAAGCAACAAACATGCCAATTAAGATATTTCTAAGCTAACAATTGGAGCACACTAAGCAATTGCTATAAGCTCAAATATAGGTGTGCACAGCCAACAACAAAGGGTTGTTGAGTGAGGAACCAACAACATTTCTGGTTCCATTTTTCTTTTAACTTTTATTTACATATGACATATTTTTTAAGTAAAGTAAGAAAACACTACAAGGAGAATGAAGTGATAACTCTAATGATACAATAATAAACACAATTGATTTTTTTGAACTATTTACACAGTTGTCATATGGCTTTGAAAGTTTCATCCCCATCGTAATTTTCAAATTGTCAGGTAAGAAAAAAAGAGGAAAATCAGGGAATGAATAGACTTGAGGACATAAACAGTTCTATTATGTAAAGTTACAGGGCCTATTTCATGTTCAGAGGGGTCTCCTGGTCCCCCTGGCCCTCACAGTGTGCACACCTATGAGCTCAAATAATTAAAATTGTTTACATTACAAAATTTATCCGAATTCCAAATGCAACTAATAAAGATATTCACTTCCATATTTCATTATGTACAACAATTATGTAAGAAATTAGAAAATAATTTACAGGTAAGCCAGAAGAATCAAAGATTTAACCTTTTAAACCAATGCCTAGAAGTTAATTAAACCTTCAAGAAATCTAGTGTATTGTATATGTCTGAAGTTTCTTTTGATTACTAATTTTATAAATGTTTAAACTTTATATATATTCTCAAAGAATAAGGGAATAAAGATGGCTTCATTTCTTGAAAGTTTTCAATATATTCCTATGTTCAAAATAATGGTCCAGCGTGGCTAAGCATTTCACATTTTTTCCCCCTAACATAAAAATCATTATACTGATCCACCTCAACAACTCTTCCAGATTAAATTCAAAAGCCAAGCAAAAATTACATCTACAAGAAAACCTAATGTATCTCGATATTCAACACCTTTAAAAAAGTAGAGTTTTTCAAAATGGAAAATTTATTGCCTATAAAACTAAAACCAAAAACTACACACACAAAAGTATTTGCAAATTCAGAAAAATCTTTTAGATTCTATGGTTCAAAATTCCCCTTCACCACTACCACTACTACTACCTCCACACTACAACAGAAACATTCCAGTGATCATGAAATAAAATTCATTAAATATTTTTTCTGCGAGTTCACTGTGGGTAGCAAAACTAGTTTTGTGCACTACTACTTCTTCATTGTGCATGAAAAAACAGTAAAGAACAGTAAGCTTAAGCATTCTAAAATAATTAAGCGAAAAGTGTGCTTGTTCATTTATATTCATTCATAGTATTTTCTAACAGAGAATAATGCACTAACATTCTGATTTTCATCACTTGCCATACAACTGCACCATCTCCAACTTTGATGAAATTTTCTTTAAACACTTCCTTTATATTTACAAATGATCAGGAAAATACCGCTTTGATCTTTTGTGTCGTGGTTTGACTAAGTATTTTTGTTTTCACTTTTCTATTTCTTGGCAGCTATACTTACTTGAGTTAATTTTCCTTTGAAAATCTGAGGCAACGATTTCACAAAAAAGTTAAATTAGTTATTGTTACTATTAGTACACACCATTAAAACATAATTATTTCTAACTTATTAGTTTCAGTCAACTCAACAAATTGCAATAATATAATTATTAAAATTCAGTAGTGTTTCACAAACTGGAAATTCAAGAAAAAAAGCAAGGTTTTTTTCTAAAGGTTTCAAATTCCTCATACTAACTCAACAAAAACAAAGTAAGTTTTTTTTTGTTTTGTTTTTGGTTTTTAAGAAGAATGTCAAAACCCATGACAGTGTATAGTTTAAAGAATAACTCTTCCACAATCTACAAGGTGAGATTTTTAATAATTTACTCAAACCATTCATGTCTTTACACTAGAAGAATGGCATGTGTGAAAATGTTTAAAATTTAAACCAGAATTAACTCAAGTTATTCAAAATTTAAATAAACATCAATTTAACAATTTTATATATCACATAACTAAATGGGGGAGGTGTGCCAAATTGCCACAACCCTGTAATTTATTACATTACTTTTAATATTTAAATTTGATAATCCAAAATCTAGGATGTAGGGATATCAACAATAAATTTAATAATACAATTGACATATTTTTCTATTACACTTCACAAGGAGACTAATGTGTTTTTGTAATTAACCACTGGAAGGCTACTAGTCAACTATAAAGAATGTGCCAGTTTTGGACTCTTAACGATCCAATGAAAGTTTATTTAAATTGAGAAGTACTACAGATTTAAAGTCAGATTTGAGAAAAATTGGAGATATGGGATAGACATTGCGCTTTATTATCACACAGGTAAATATAAAAAAAATGGCTGTCTTTCACACACCAGTCCTTTCTAGAAGAATCCTTCTGGCATTAAGGAGCCAGCAAGTCCCTTTCATCTTAGTCTTTAGACAAATAGATTGAATTATTATAAACTGTGCCCAAACTAATAGGCTTCTCACTAACTTTCTTCTGTCTTCATAAATAATTAGGACCCCAACTTGAAAGTTACTGAAATTTTGAATTATTGAAGCGAGATATCAACTCGAAAACTTTGGATACAAAGTATCTTAAGAGAGTATTATTATTTTGAATTGCTGCAATTTTGAATTACAGAGGTTCTATCACAATCACCAAGCAGACCTTTTTATTGGCATCTTTGTTGACCTTTCAATGTCGGGTAACATCTACACACAATCATTGGCATTTTCTTTGACATAATATTATTAGGTCAAATAACATTTCCCATGAACCAACAACCGACTCTCCCTTCTTACCATTTCTGATGAAAGTGTAGAGTGAACATCATTGCAAAATATATCCCACCACAACTGTAGAAACCCTTGCAAGTGTTCAGAGCCAGGTGAGGGTTTCACTTGGCGTGACTCTGAATCTAAATACTGAAGCCATGGCTTAGCTGTTCCAATGAAATGTACTATTTTCACATTCTGACCAAATCTAAAGATAGGAAAAAGTTTGGTCACACAAGATTCACTTTAATTCAAAAGTAATACAAATTAAACAAATTCAAGTTCTCAGTGAGTTTTTCATTCAATGTTATTAATGCTTACAAAACTGTGGCACAACCAGGATTTTTCTTAGGTGAGGCTAGAGGCTATCAGGTACAATGTTAAGCCAACTTTATGTTTTCTTCTAAATAATTTTTCATTTATACAAAATTTAAATCATCTTTATAACTCTAAATCAAGATACTATTTAAAATTAGTTAAATCTATATTTGCGACCACATATCATTGGCTTTTGGGAGGAGATAGTTCTATAACTTATTGTTAGTCACAGTCTATGAATCCTCCCTCACCCCACTCTCCTTGGTTGCACCACTGCTGGAATAAATGTGACATATCACATTACTACTGTTCACAAGAAACAAAGAACTTGAAATGAACATAGTAAATAAATTGCAAGTAGGCAATTTAATGCAAAATAACTTACTGTTTGAATGCTGGAAGATAAGAGTATGTGGCTGAGGAACACATATTATAAATAAAAGGCAAATGACGACTTATATCTTTAGTAGCCCAGTCAGAGAAAAACTGATTCAACAGTCCTTGATCACCACCTAAATCAAATATATAGATCATGATGCAATGTGATTTTTAAGTATTTAATAATATTTGAAAACATCAAAACAACATACCATCGAAACTACCCTGAGATAATGCAAAATTAATTAATGCATTGTATGTTTCAATGGAAGGACGATATACAAAAACTCCTGAATTAAAGCAATCTGGCCACCCCACATCAGGTGCAGCTGATAACTCTTCCCTGTCGAAAAGTTCATCACAGTTCTTCAACACCTATTATAAAATAGAAACAAGAGGAAGTCAAAATAATCCTCTCCCATGCAAAAATGTTTTCAGAGCAATTTGTGTACATACCATTACATCAGCGTCAAGAAAGACACATTTAGAAAATTGAGTTAATCTCCAACAATGCAATTTAGTGAATGTAATGCCTAATTCTGGGCGTGTCAGCAGAGCCAAATTTTTTTCATCCTTTGAATCAAGGATATTGACTTCTTCTAAAACATTGAAAACTGATGCAAGTTGAGCCCTGCAGATGATACAAATGTCATTAACTACTTACTTGTTGTGTGATTAATTAAGTACTTGTTATGTGATTACTTAAATACTACCTCATTGCAGCAGAGACCCCTGGGGTTACCATAACAGTCAGGTTGTGATTAGTACTTACTCGTCTGAGTGATCGAGCAAGGACTAATGCACCCAGTGAATATGTATCATTGGTAGCAAGGGTTACCCAGGAATAATCTATAAACAGAAAACAAATAATAAATAAACATTTAAAATATGGATTTTATGAACAGAATTATGATTTAGGAAAGATGGAAATAAAATTTCATGTGATTAAGGTCATTATTTTATTTTTTAAATTTTTATCTTCTTTATTTACTTCTCCATTTATTTATTTATTTATTTACTTCTCCATTTATTTATTTATTTATTTATTTATTTATTTATTTATTTATTTATTCATTTACTTCTCCATTTATTTATTTATTCATTTATTTATTTATTTACTTCATTCATTTATTTAT